GCACTGACAGCACAGAGCCTGCTTGGGACTCTCTCTCTCTGCCTCTCCCCCACTCTTTCTCTTTCTCTCAAAACGAACAAACAAACATTTTAAATAAATAAATAAATAAATAAATAAATAAAATGTTCAATATTTTAATTTTCAAGTGCAAGCTGGTAAATCCTGTTTATGAGAAATGTCTCATCAGGACATTATTTTCCAGAGTGGCACTACAAAAGTTTTGCTGAAGGACAAAACTTCCAGTTCCCAATAACTATATTGGAAAAAAAAAAAAAAGCATATGAGTAGACACTAGCTAGACTTCTAAAGAATATTTTAAAAGCCTTTACCCCAATTAACAAGAGCTGTTGTAAGTAAGCCATATCATTGGGATAGCCATGTCACACATCCTCAGCTTCTACAAATAGGTGTGACCATTTCAATTCATTATACGAGAAAGGGGGAGCTCAACTACCGTGGTCTTTACCTTCGCTCCATTTCAGCCGCTCATTGTAGTGGTTGTGGTCAGAATTCAGAGCTGTTCCACTTCTAAAATGTGAAACCTAAATATCCCTCTCCTTGACAAGAACTTCTCTGCCTTTCAGTACCTTCCTTCTTTATTCCTCTTACACCTGCCTTTTCCCTCCCTTATTGCCCTTATTGAGGCCTCTCGTTTCCTCCATTTCCTTCTAGTCTTTCCTTCTCCACCATGGCCTCTTCTCTTTTTCTAACTTGCTTCTATAACCTTGAGTCCTTTGTATCTGTCTGCATCAGCACTTACCCAACTCTAACACTAAGTGAATGTAATAATGACCATCCTTTTCTCCTACGTTCAGTCAGATGAACCCTGCAGGAGAAAAATAACAACCAACATTTTTCAAGTACTTGCTACATGCAGCACCATTCTAAGTATTTTCCATGTATGATCTCATTTTATTTTATTTTCATGAGCCACAGGAGAGATTTTTGCCCATTTTACACACAGGAAAACTGTTTCACAGAGGTCAGGTTGCCCAAAACATTACATCAAATCACAAACACAGCCAATTGTAGATATCTCATTATTTTAAAAAAGCTAAAGAAAATGCTGCCTAATTGCAAAGTACCATCCACTGAAAGATACATTCTGATTTCAGCGGTGTTAAATGTGAAAAAAAAAATTCATCTAAGAATCAGTGAAATATGACATATGAGAAAGATATAGTGTAAACCCAGCCAGTTTGGCTACAGAGCATAATAATTTTCATCATTAAGTTATTTTGCCTCATAAAAACCAGGCTTGCATGCAAAATGGTTAGTTACAAATTTATGGTCTCAAACTTTGCCTGGGCTTTTAGTACTTTCTTTAGTGTCTCTTTCTTTCTTATCTCCTCTCATCTCTTCAATGATTATCCCAAAGTCTTTTCACCCTTAAGTTCCCTTCTTAACACCTCCCTCATTCATTTTTTTGTGGCTGACTGTGCATCTTACTTTATTAGGATAATTGAGACCATCTCTCACCATCTCAACTCTGCACCACTGCTCACCATTCTACCTACAGACAAATGCAGAGAGAGATAGTCCCCCTTCTGCCTTGTTCATAGAGCAAGCTATGCCCCCTTCTGTTAAACACTGGCTTCTTTTTATTCTCTTATTCCTCTTGCTTCTCATTTCCTCTGAGAATGTTGATTGTCCTTCTCTCCCGACTTTCAACTTCTCTCGCTAGTGGTTTCTCTCCCTCAGCCTGTAAACATGACAAAGACCCAACCTCTAACCTTCTATTCCAATCCATCTCCCTCTTCTTTTCCCAACTTCATAGAAGGTGTTTCACAGGCACTGTCTGCATTTCTTCACTTTCCATTTCTCCTCAACCCACCACTCCTCCATGAATACTCAACTAAAATTTCTTCCTAATAAACAACTCGGTGGCCTCTTCTTTTTCAAATCCAATGGAAAATTCTTAGTCTTCACTTTATTTACCCCTTTTCTAAATCTGTATGATATGGTTGATTTCCTCCTTCTTGTGAAAATCTCTGTCTCACTAGCTTCTAAGGAACCACACTTTTCTGGTTCCTTTTAATCCTGTCAATCACTTAAATGTTGGCATTTCTAGTGTCTCTCCTCTGGCTATTCTTTTACCCACTTTACATACTTTCCTGTGAGGATTTTACCTATTGCTTAAATCCCAAATCTGAACTTCTCTCCTGAATGCTGTATCCCAAGTGTTTACCATTAGTCCCCGCCTTTGCCTTGGCTATTCAGCATCTCCATTGGATGACAGTCATCTCAAACTTGACATCTTGAAAATGGAAGATGAAGCAGAAGAAGGGGGAAAATAGTTGGGGAGAGGGAAGGAGGTAAAACATGAGAGACTCTTGAATGCTGAGAACAAACTGAGGGCTGAGGGGGGGTGGGGGAGAAGGGAAGGGGAGTGATGGGCATGGAGGATGGCACTTGTTGGGATGAACACTGAATGTTATATGTAAACCAACTTGACAATAAACTATTTAAGGGAAAAAAAATAAAACCCAATTCTTGATGTTCCTTTCTCAAACTTATTCCTCAAAACACTTTTATTCTCTTAACTGGTGGTAATTCCAAACTTCCAGTTGCTTAGCCCCCAAAACTTGGAGTCATGTTCAATTTCTTTTTCTTACACCCTGCATCTGGTCCATCAATAAGTCCTGTTTTTCCTATCATCAAAATATATTCAGAATCCACTTACTTTCATTGACTCCACTGCTACCACCTGTACTGAATTCACCATATCTCATTTGAATTATTATAGCAGCTCCCAAGTGTACTTGCTGCCTCTGCCCTGCCCTATCCAGTCTGTGCTCTACTAAGCAGCCAGGATGGGTTTCTGACCACCTCTCTGACCTCACTTCCTACCACTATACCCAGAAAACACTTCTCACAACACACTTCTTCCAAGCTTCCCTTATGCTCCACTTGGAGCATTCTTTCCCATGTATATGTATGGTTCTTTCACATTAATAGAATTTACTCAATATTTCCTCACCAGGAAGGGCTTCTCAGTACTCCATATAGAATAGCTCTTCTCCACATCCTTTTCCAAACCTCCTTTATTTTTTCTTATAATGTTTTTCTTTTTCTTATTACACCTGATATATTACACATATATTTGGGGGGGGGGAGTTCAGAATGATAGGGTCTCATTATTGACTCATACATAGCACTATTTGTTCATTTAATTAGCTAGTTATGTGTTTGTTTTTGATAGATAGCTGTAAACTCAATGTGCAACACAGAACCTGGAACTACAAATTGTTATACATATATAATATTTATATATATAATTATATGTTATGTTATATTTATATATTATAATGATTTACATATATATAATTTTTAAATTAAAATATACATGTTCTTAGGGCACCTGGGTAGCTCATTTGGTTGAGTTTCCAGCTTTTGCTCAGGTCATGATCTCACAGTTCATGAGTTTGAGCCCCGCATCAGGCTCTGTGCTGACAGCTCAGAGCCCAGAGCCTGCTTCAGATTCTGTGTCTCCCTCTCTCTCTCTGCCCTTCCCCTGATCATTCTCTGTCTCTCAAAAATAAATAAACATTAAAAAATTTAAAAATGTATCAGTGTTCTTCCCCCACCCCCACTCTAATGTAAGCTTCATGAATTGAGGGACTTTGTTTTGTTCCTTCTGCATACATAGCTTCTAGAATACTGTCTGGTACATAGGCATTGGAAAGTAAAGTAAGCACTGCATATTAATATACCAATGTTTTCAAAGGTAAGGTCAACACATCCAAAACCAGAATTTCTGTTCTCTCTTCTTTCTTCACACTCCTCTCCTTAAATTTTCTCTCTAGAAACACAGAACTGCTTTGAGTGCTCCCTCAATGTCTTTGCTCATACTGACTTCTCTGACTGGAGAAGACTATATCCATTTGGCCCCAGGATACCTGTATAACTCCTTCCCCAAGAAGTTCATCAGTCACCTCCTTAAAGATACCTTCTTTCCATCCTCCTTTCTTTTTTCTTTCCACAGGCTTCTCCCTGTGCTAACACACCTGTATTTCTCTAATGACCTTCTCCAAAAGGCTGAGACTGTCTTGAAGTTCAGGAAGCAAGTCCAAGACCTCACCTATTATCTCCCCCCACCCCCACCCCACCTTCTACAGTGTAATTAGAAGTAGACATTAGCATGTTCAGTTCACAGATTGAGTAACTAAAGCACACCCCATGCAGGTTCAGAGTAGAAGAAAAAGTCCAGAACCCCTCAAGAATTCTCTTTGGAACTTTGTTTCTATCTTTTGGGTAGCTGTCAGTTCTTTTCTTCAGTAAACCTTGCTATAAACCTGGGTTCCTCCCTGTGCCCCTCTGGAAGGTAACCATGGATACTATTGAGCTGACACAAAAGCCTTCAGTTAATGGAGACTTAAAGTGGATTTTAGGACACTCAGAGGGTTTCCAGGCGAGGGGCAAACCCTGGAAACACTTGCAAAGCTAGGACTTTTACTTCAGGCCCTCAGGCAGGTTGTGTTTCAGTGAAGGGAGGACACTAATGCTCAGCAGAGCTCTGTAAGCTTGACAGGTATTACCTAGCTGTGAGTTGAGAACCAAAGGGAGTCCCAGGTGAAATGCAGGGCCCCTGAGGCGAATCTTCCACCCCAGCGACAACACGGGCTCTTGAGGGGATCCAGGTCACAGAGCCTAGAGGTAATGGTGTCTCCTGTCCCCAGTCAAGGGGGAACTTCCAGCAATGCCATCTCCCTACCCACATCCTTGCCCCATGGGAGTTTTCCTACCCCCAGCCTCTGACTACAGACAGGCGGAGAAATTCACACCCATGTTTCTAGGAGGCTCCTTATTCCCATGGAGCCCTTTCTGATCGCTATCTGGGCGCCCTAATGCCTTCTCCGACCCCAGGAGTCCTGGGTCTTCCCTCACATCTGTTTATTCTCAAACAAGGCGCGCCTGGAGGGTGGGGATCTAGGGACCCCCACTGGCTCCTAGACCGTCTCAGAGCTGGGTCCCAACTTTCCAGTTCCTGCGTCGCATCGCTCCTCCCGAGGTAAGACCGGGAAGCCAAACCGCATAAAGGCTCAGTTCCACTGGGTGGAGGGTAGCTGTGCGTCAGGGTCGGTGAGGGTGTGTGTGGCTAAGCCTGCTGGTTACCTGAAGTGAGATCTCTAGGGGAGGGAGGGAGAAAGAGAGTGCGGGAGATGGACTTGGGGGCGAGAGGTGGCGGCAGTTTCCCGGCGCTTTGACGTAGACTTGGAGAGGCGCCGAACACTCCCACTGCTTAAGAGGCACCGTAGCCTTCAGGACGCCGGGGCTGGGGACAGTCACTCGCTCCGGGAGCAGCCTGAGCATTTCCTCTCCAGACACTCGAGGGAATCCAGAGAGGGTTGAGCAGGTAAGTGGGAAGGGGTGCCCTCCTGAGACCTGGGAGTTGAGCCTCTGTGTAAGGAAAATAATGGGGCACAAAGGACACAGCGGGTCCTTGGCAGCTACACCCTGATGTGGGTGAGGCCGTGGAACCAGGTGTGGGATTGGGACCCAGTGAGCATAGCGCGAGGCTCGTAGCGTGGTGCACGAAGGACCCCAGGGCTGAGGAACTTCCACGCTCGAGAAAGACTCCTGAAAAGGGAATCTAAAGGAGCCTGTATGAGCGCTGTGGTGCAATCAGGCAGGGAGTCCAGGACAACACTAACTTCAGCACACTGGACAGCGTCCCGCCCTCTTCCAATAACTTCCCACTGACACTTGGACTTGTCCCCTAAGGAAAACAGCCTTTGGGGGCAACTCCACTTTGATATTTTAGTTCAGAGGAGGACGTACTGAATACAGTTTTGTTCAGGGAGAGATCCTATGTAAGCGATCTAAATATTTTTGAATAATCTTGTATCTCAACGTACCTCTTCCAAATAGAAACCTGCATTGTTCAAAGGCAGTTCTGGAATATTGATTTAAGGTTACCTCAATATGTTCTGCTGCTGTGCAGTAGAGAAAGATTCCATCTTAAGGTGTTATCCTTACATATTCCAATATAGATGTATTCCCGTAAGTATCCCTATGAGATGTGTCTTGCTTGCCTTCATGATACTAACATCTAGAAGGTTTGGAAATATAAGATAAAACTAAAAGTTAGCCGCATATACTCTCCTGATTTTTCTTTATGTTAGAGTTGTTTCCGTGTGATATACATTTTGAATACTCTTAAAGAGTAATATAAGCTTGTTTCCTTGGAAAAAAGGAAAATTTAGATTCATATTATTTTAAGGACATTATTTCTCACTGCACTTGTCTGAAGTGTAACATAATAATTTCAAAGTGGTATATGGTTTAATTTTATTGTAACAGCCTTTGAGAGCCAGAAAAGTTGAGTGAGAGGTGAATATTTTCATTAAAATTCTTGAGATTTGTAGCAAGAAGAAAGAAATGATAAAACATCATTTTTATGAAAGTTATATCAGAATTGTAGAGCATTTTAAAATGTCTATTAATTCTACTCTGATTGAATATATGCCCCTTAGTTCTTATACTTTCAGCACACTACTTTATTTTTATTTATAACATTTTACTACTTTTTTCTTTTTAAAAATTGAAGGTGACCCCAAATAAGAAAACATTTAAGGATAAAATATATTGAAATTCTTAATTGCATGTGAGTCCTAAATTAGAAATAGGTAGGGTAAATTATGATATTATAGAATAATTAAAGCCATGCAGCAAAGATTTTAAATTTTCACTTAAGATTCTTTTAAACTATGCTCCTCTGTATTTGAGAAAAACAAGTTCACTTATTCATGTCACAAAGGAACATGTCTTAGGAATAAACACTTCTTAATCTAAATATCTTGGTTTTATAGTACCTGGCTTGACAATGTGTCATTTTAGGTAAAATGGGGTTTATGATATGGGAGCTATGATAAGACTTTTCCTAGGTGCAATGGTGTATTTTCTTTGTTGACACCAAGGTTTTTAAAGGCATAATTATTTTCATTACTGAGTGGAGCTCAAGCAAGATTCATAAGATATTTCCATTCTGTGCAGTTTCAGCACCATGGCCGATCCTGGAAACAGAAGAGGGATCTACCGCCCCTTGACCCTTACCTGCTCCCTGCTCATTGTGGGAATGTGCTGTGTGTCTCCTTTCTCCTGCCATAGCCAGACAGACCTGCTGGCCCTTAATCAAGCTGATCCTCAGTGCTGGGAATCTTCTTCAGTCCTCCTCCTAGAAATGCGGAAGCCTCGAATTTCTAACACCGTTTCAGGTTTCTGGGACTTTATGATCTACCTTAAATCATCTGAGAACTTGAAACATGGGGCACTATTTTGGGATTTGGCCCAACTCTTCTGGGACATCTATGTGGACTGTGTTCTCTCCAGGAACCATGGCTTAGGAAGGAGGCAATTGGCTGGGAAGGAAGAGAAGATTTCAACAGTGCATCCACAGCACACAGAGAGAAAACAAGGTGGTCAACTCTAGGTCCCATGTTTTTCGAAATGGTGAATCAAGTATGAGTGTAATGCATTGTGAGGAAGAGGAAAATAGCTTTAGGGGAATCCATTGCCACATATATTCCTCTCAGGGGCAGACCCAAGAGCACATAAGTGATAGGAAGACAGCACTTCCTTTGGTATTTCATGGTATCTGTTTATATCAACATATTGTCCTCATTTTCATACTTCATGTAAACAGCAGCAAGGAAGAGTCAAGAAAGGCGAGTAAGGAAAAGCATGATTCTCAAAATATAACAAAAAGTATAAAGTGATTAGTCTGAATATTAGCAGTCATAACCTGTCTTCGTATGCTATGGATTTGGGAAGATTTGAATGTAAGTCTGGGGAATATTCACAACACACAAGCACTTGCCTCTTTTAAATGGAAAAAAAGAATGCTTTCATGTAAATGGAGAGGCTCCTTGTAATGTACTTGGTGAAGTAAAGGGCAGAAAAATTGGCTGGCTTGCAGATTCACTCCTTGTTGCTTTTTGAACAAATCTCAAATATGTAATTAGCTTCCAGCAACCTGACTGATTAATTTTTAGTAATTTCGAACTTCTGACAAATTTAGAGATTCTCACTGATGTAAATATTTTATTCAAACAGACTTCTCTGGAGTACTAGCAGAAGTATCCCTTACAGAATTAAAATTAGGGCAAATGATCCCGTGTGAATAAGCTGAGAGACAGATACCTGGGCCTATTCATATTGTTTTTGTTCCATTTTTAGAGTTGTTTCAACCAATGAGCTTCCAATCTTTGCAGCAAAGCCTGTTTGGGTGGTAGTAACACTTAGAAGTATTTAAGCACTAGTGCAAAATTGAGGCATAACTAAAGTTTACATGTCTATATTTTATTGTGAGAATTGTTATATATTCCTATAATTTCTCTATTAAAATAACACTTAACAGTAATATTTCTAGAACAACACTTTCCCAAGATATTGTATCTGGTTCATTTTAACCTCACTAAAAGTCCTTATGATTTGCTGATCCATTAAACCATATAATCAATCCACTGCAGTTATTTATAGATAAGTTTATTATTTTGACAAATGTTACTGTAACCAAACTGATTTCCACATTTAGAGGAAATATTCTTTTACCAGCTTAGCTACTAAAGAAATACAAAAATAAGTGTCTTTCAATGTTGGTTACCAATATTTAAAAATTATTTTAAACAGAGGCTGTTTGGACATCAGCATCAATAGAATTCTCTATTTTCTTCATTTGTACTGTAGGACTCTTTCTTCCATTCTTATATTTAGTTGTCATACTCAAATGACACTAATATTTATTGGTACTCACTTTGAATTACTAAATTATCTATAGAATAAATGAATATAATACTATTTGTGTTCAGATGAATATGAGAATAACTATACACACACAAACAAGGTCTTTCTCTAAAACGGCTTTCAGTTTGCTTGCTGGCAACGTGGCTATCAGAATAGTCAGAAGTTTCATGTAATTTTTGGAGCATATTTCAACATAGCATTTCTATCTTCTTATTCTCCTTATTCTTTTTAAAGGCAGTAGATTTATCTTCAGCTTTAGAAGCCACTTTTTTAATCTTGCTACAGAGTTGCCGTTGACTCAGCTGGTCTGCAAACTTTAGTCAGAATGACTATGTAGCAGGAGGGAACATTTCACTTTATTGAAGTTATTTTAATGTTTGACATAAACAACTGTTTGCAGATCAGGAAACAAAGCTTTCCATTTGGACTGTATAATCACAATCAAAGTGGGTCTTGGGTCAAGAAGACACCATGTCTAAAAGTTAAATAGTTGCTGGAACATCGAGATTTCATCTCAAGAGGCTTAAGTCTCTAGTGGCTCAACTGGGCTCTGGATGTACCTGCACGGATTCTCCACTACCTTTTTCTATTGTCCTTGGGGGATTAATATGCTACAAGGTTGGGATGGGGGTGAGGTGAAGAGATGTTTATCTCTGTAGTTCTCAGGAAAATCACATCACCAGAGCAGAAGGGAAGAACTAATATGTCTACATAATGTGCAACAAGGTTCTTATTTTGATATCCTCAATTTTAATAGTTTAAATACACTTGAGAATTGTTGCTATGAATCATACTTTGCTAAAAACGTAAAACTCCTGGGCACCTGGGTGGCTCAGTTGGTTGAGCAAGTGACTCTTGATTTTGGCTCAGGTCATAATCCCAAGGTTGTGGGATCATGCCCTGCATTGGGATGTGTACTGAGTATGGAGCCTCCCTCTCTTTCTCTATCTCTTCCTCTGCCTTTCTCCTCTTCCCCCAAAATATTTTTAAAAAACCCCAAACCGTAAAACTCCCATTTTATATGTCAACATATCATATTTGTTACTATTGGGCCAAAAATTATGAAAACAAGAGATATTAAATAGCTATGCAACCTCAGTCAACCAAATTAACTTATTTAGCCCTCAGTTTCTTCGTCTGAAAAAGAGGGATGTGGTAAGAATTAGATGACCCATAAAGTCTCTCTATGTTCTTCTTTCTAATGTTCTGTGATTCTATAAAAAAGAAATTTATGAGAGGCATGTATTTAACCATGAATTGAATCTGGAAGAGCTTTACCCCAAAGACAGCTTGTTGAGCTGGGTGATGACCTAGATACTATAGTTGTTTATAATAGTGCTAAGCAGGAACAGAGGGCATCTAGAAATGAGAATTCCAAAAATTCTGAGGTCCAGATATATCCTCACTTGAGGAAAGACTTAAAAGATCATTATTAATTAGTCTAGAAAGATATGAGTTAGTAACTGAATGCTGAAATATCCATAAGGTGTGAAAATGGTGTAACTAGGTATAACCACCAAATTATGATGGGTTATGTCAAGGCAGAGAGAAAGAGGGAGTGAAAGAGTTATTAACTGATTTAGGAAAATAGTAGGCTAATAATTTGCAAATAGAAAATGACAGATTTGATGTTAACTCATGGGTTAGTAAGAGCTTCAATGCAAATGAAGGGATTTTGAAGTATATCTTTGTGTCAAAAAACAATGGCCCTTTCCTTCGACAGATCATGCTCTGCCAGTGAGAGAAATTTTAAAAACCTGCCTGCCTGAGACTGGCAGTTTGTATGTTCTGGAAAAACTGTGAGTCTTTGCATTCCTTCATGATGCGAACATTAAAATTTAGATTTATAATTTGATGATATTTGTAGTTGGTGTCTAGCTGGTAAATGTTTTTTTTTTTTTCAAACACCAAACATTAGAGAAAACAATGCTTCAGGAATACAAATAATCCGATGTGCCAATGTTTGATCTTTTTACTTTACTTACTCCAAGAAATTTCCTAGAAACATCTTTAGAAATTACTTACCTAGAACTCTACCCTAAAGAAATATTCAGAGATGTAGCCAATCATTCAGTACACGAATCTTCACTGCAATGCTATTTATAACAGTAGAAAATTTGGAAATAATTGGAATGTTGCATAATAAGTAATGGTTCACTAAATTATGGCATAAAGTGTGTATGCAAAAAACTATGGTTATCTCTAAAAGATTATATTATGGGCAATATAAAGTTTTTCTGTATATTTTTGTATTAAAATTATATAATGATCACTTTTACTTTTTTAATCAGAAAAACATATCTTAATACATACATATTAATTAACAAGGAAATGTCTTTAGTATAATTGATTTAATTTAGGTAATTTAAACTGCAAAGGACACATAACCATAGGTTTACATAGACACTCCTGCAATAAATTTATACAGACTTTTGATGGAGTGACAGGAATAAAAACTTTAAAACCAATTTATTGACATTTAATTAACCTGAGAATAATTTGGTGCTCTAATGACTAGTTCCTTTTCTCTGCTTTCAGGTGTATATTCTCAGCAGCTAAGAACACCTTTCCTAAAGAAGAAAGAGTTGATTGAAGGTGTGATAAGCATGCATTTGCACAGAAGTGGGTCTAAGCTCATTGGGAAAGTCACCAGTGGCCTGCAAATAAAGAGAAAATAAACCTAACCTCAGAGCTAATTCACATCTTGGAATTAAAAAACAAACAAGCATTGTTTCCTTGACTATTGATCATTTCATTAGTTGAAATGGTGGGAATGTCCAGAGGTAAATATTAAGCCAAATTCTCTCAGAGTACCTACTTATGGATTTTCATTATTTTAGCCTGCTAGCATGTTCCTTCAAAGAGTGGCTTTACTGCCACCTCATCCCACTGTCTGAAAGAGTTAAAGTAGCTTCCAAGGATGATCAGGGGATTGGGAAAGTCACATTGCTTGTATTCACTCTGATTGATTGCTCTGGGATGCTGGATCTTGGTGAACTAGAGTCCCATCCATTTAACTTGAATACACTGCATGACTTCCAAGCCAGTAGCCACTGCTTACGTACAGGCATAATGGGCTTTATTTATTACGAGTTACTGACTGTAATACATAAAATCTTGTTTGAAAGAATATTTTTGAATAACGAATAAAGCAAAAAACAAACAAAACAATATGCAATGGCAAATAAAGCATTCTTCTAATGGAAACAAAATCAATAAAAGCTCTGGATCCCAAGTAACATTATTGGAGTCTTTTTTAAGTTTTTTTTTTATTTATTTATTTTAGGAGAGAGACAGAGAGCAAGTGGGGAAGGGGCAGAAAGAGAAGGATGCAGAATTCCAACCAGGCTCCACGGTACCACTACACAGCTGGATGTGGGACTCAAACCCACTAGCTGTGAGATCATGACCCAAATCAAAGTCAAGAGCTGGCCGCTCAACCGACTGAACCACCTAGGAGCCCCAGAGTCTTTTTTTTTTTTTTAAGTAGGCTTCACGTACATCATGGAGCCCAATGCAGGGCTTAAACTCACAACCCTCAGATCAAGACCTGAGCTGAAATAAAGAGTTGGACACTTAATTGACTGAGCCACTCAGGTGCCCCAAGGAGTCTTTTTATTTCAATATTTTAATTTTTTTAATGTTTATTTATTTTTGAGAAAGAGAGAGAGACAGTGCACAAGCAGGAGAGGAGCAGAGAGAGAGGCAAACACGGAATCCTAAGCAGGCTCTAGGCTCTGAGCTGTGAGCACAGAACCCCACGTGAGGCTCTAGCTCGGAACAGTGAGATGATGACCTGCGCTGAAGCCAGACGCTCAACCGACTGAGCCACCCAGGCGCCCCATATTTCAATATTTCATATTACCATTATTGATAATCTAAACACTAAGAAAAGAACAGTAAGTATAAGTATCTTTCAATTAGCCTATTTTCTATTTGATTAAATATTAAAACCCTGTAAGTGGTTAGTTATAACTTTGCATTGCAAGGCAAACTAAAAGTAAAATGAACAGCATTATAATAAAAGAATCCATAACAAATTTTCCCCTGAGAAGTGACCAGACCTGAATGAAGTTCATAACAGAGAAGTTCAATGAGCAAATGTATTTGAGATCCCGACACAATGAGATTTTTATATATCTAATTACTTCATCTCTCCAATTGTACTATACAACCAACGCTTGACAACCAGTTTGAATTTCATTCAGTATGTTAACAATTGACTTGCTTTTTCCATACCTGAGGGAAGCTTCAGAAAATGTTTTCACTGAAGGTTTAAGGTCCTCCTTAAACTAAAGATCTTATCCAAAGGGTTATCAGAAGACAGCTGCAACTGAGAATTAAACAAGTCCTAACAACAGGGGAAGAGAGTCTGGGGAAGGAACTGCCTTTTCTTGTTAACCTTCAGCTTTTCTTTGTGAAGAGAATGAGCACATTAAAAGCTGCCACTTTATCATTTTTTTTTAAAAGTTTTAAAAATACTTATTTATTTTTGAGAGAGAGACAGAGAATGAGTGAGGGAGAGGTAGAGAGAGGGAGACACAGAACTTGAAGCAGGCTCCAGGCTCTGGCTATCAGCACAGAGGCTGAACTCACAAACCGTGCGGTCATGACCTGAGCCCAAGTCAGCCGCTTAACAGATTGAGCCACCCAGGCGCCCCTACGTAGGCTTATGGTTTTGCTTTCGTGCCACTCTTTCTAATACCTTTCATCACATTCCTAAAAACCATCAACATGAACTTATTATCTCTTATAAATCATTGAAGAAATGCCACTCTTGCTGACAGAAGAGCTTGCCTGTGACTCCCCTCTCACCTTGGTCTATACAGCAGGATCTGCTCATTTTTTCCGGTAAAGGATCAGATAGTAAATATCATATGCTTGTAGGTCTGGTCTCTGTTACAACGAATCATCAAGTCTGCTTTTGTGGAATAAAAGTAACCATAGACACTATGTGAATGAAAGTGCACGGCGATGTTCTAATAAAGCTTTGCTTATTGACAATGGAACCTGAATCCATATCATTTCCAAGTGTCACAACATTTTCTTCTTTTTCTTGACTCTTTCAACCATTTTAAAAAATGTAATAACCACTCTTAGTTCATAGATTGGACAAAACAGGGAGCAGGCAGGGTTTGGCCTGTGGGCTGTTGCTTGCTGATCTGTGTTCTAAGGGATGCTTATAAAACTTGTAAGGAACAAGCTGGGATAAAGTGAGAAGGAGAGTGAATAAAAGCAAAATTTAAAAAAAACCTGATAGACTAAAAAGCAAGTATTAGCATGAGATTGACTGGGGATAACTTACCTCTAATCCTATTTAAGTGGCCATCATTTTATTCTGGGACAGTACTAGAAATTACAGATCATACAAATAAAAATCCAGGACTCTAGATACAACATGGATTGCACATCAAGACACTATGCAAAAGACTGGACTCACAGCCATATTTATATAGAGAAAGTACAGAGCAGAGTACAGGCTCAGAAGCTGCATTCCAATCTCAACTTCATCAGCTACTGGCCAAGCAACTTTTGACAAGTTACTGAAATTCTTTGTGCCAATGTTTCCTCATAAAATGATATATCTACATGCTAGTTTTGTTGTGAGGAGTCAATGACTTGGTGCTTACAAGGTGCTTAGAAACGAAGTGCTCTACTAGTTAAAAAAAAATTAAATAGTTAAAGAGTGATAGTGATTACTTTGGACATCATTAAATTAAGCATCCATACAGAGAAGGGAGGCAGATAAATATCTTAGCCAAACTCACTGGATGTAGGATTTTAGTGAGAAATGTTCATGTTTTAAAATTAAAATTATTTTGGGGCGCCTGGGTGGCTTAGTCGGTTAAGCGTCCGACTTTCGCTTAGGTCATGATCTCATGGTTCGTGGGTTCGAGCCCCACGTCGGGCTCTGTGCTGACTGCCAGCTCAGAGCCTGGAGCCTATTTCAGAGTCTGTATCTCCCTCTCTCTCTGACCTTCCCCTGCTCACGCTGTCTCTCTCTCTCTCTCTCTCCTAGAAATAAATAAAAATATTAAAAAATAATAAAATTAAAATTATTTTAAGACCATGGTTGGTTCATATAAAGTTATAAAAATATAACCCAGAGACATCCTGTAGACTCTTCATCCAGTTCCCCAATGGTAACATCTTGCATAATTATTATACAATAATGCAACCAAGAAATCAACATTGGTACAAGCCACAAAGTTTATTCAGATTTCATCAGTTTTGCATATACTCGTGTGTGTGTGTGTGTGTGTGTCTGTGTGTGTGTGTGTGTGTTTAGTTCTTTGACAAGCCTGATCTCCATCAGGAGCATCCAGATAGAAAACTGGGTCATTAGCTCACATGAAAAAATGCTCATTTTTTCAATCATCAGGAAAATGCAAATCAAAACCACAATGAGATACCACCTCACACCAGTCAGAGTGGCTGATTCACAACTCAGGCAACAACAGACGCTGGCGAGGATGTGGAGAAAGAGGATCTCTTACGCACTGCAGGTGGGGATGCAAACTGGTGCAGCCGCCCTGAAAAACAGTATGGAGTTTCCTCAAAAAGTTAAAAATAGAACTACCCTACAACCCAGCAATTGCACTCCTAGGTATTTATCCAAGGGATACAGCCGTGCTGTTTTGAAGGGGCACATGCACCCCAATGTTTATAGCAGTGCTATTGACAATTGTCAAATTATGGAAAGTGCCCAAATGTTCATTGACATGTGAATGGATAAAGAAGATGTGTTATATATATACAATGGAGTATTACTTGACAATAAAGAAGAATAAAATCTTGCCATTTGCAACAATGTGGATGGAACTAGATGGCATTATGCTAAGCGAAATTAGTCAGAGAAAGAAAATATCATATGACTTAACTCATATGTGGAATTTAAGATACAAAACAGATGAACATAAGGGAAGGGAGGAAAAATAATTTAAAAACAGAGGGGGACAAAACATAAGAGACTCTTAAATACATAGAACAAACTGAGGGTTGCTGGAGGGGTTGTGGGAGGGGGGATGGGCTAAATGGGTAGGGGGCATTAAGGAGAGCACTTGTTGCAATGAGCACTGGGTGTTATATATAGGGGATGAATCCCTGGAATCTACTCCTGAAATCATTATTGCATCATATGCTAACTTGGATGTAAATTAAAAAATAAAAAAGAAAGAAAAAAAAGAAAGAAATTAATACTGGAAAAAAAAGAAAATTTGGTCATCAATTCACTAATTTAAATGCTACTTGAAGAAGACAGTCACATTGATTATGTAGATTACACATTGGAATATTACTACCAAGGTATTCGAATTAAAAATGGCCCTCTCTTGGGGCGCCTGGGTGGCTTAGTCGGTTGAGCGTCCGACTTTCGCTTAGGTCATGATCTCGCGGTTCGTGGGTTCGAGCCCCGCGTCGGGCTCTGTGCTGACTGCCAGCTCAGAGCCTGGAGCCTATTTCAAAGTCTGTGTCTCCCTCTCTCTCTGACCCTCCCCTGCTCACGCTGTCTGTCTCTCTCTCTCTCCTCGGGGAAAAAAAAAAAAAAAAGAATGGCCCTCTCTTGGAGACCCAACAGACCAGATTTGACTTGGCCTTTTCTTTCCTTTTCCCTCACTCCCAAGGCTTTAGTTGGAACTGCAGAACTGAGATACATGAGTAGGGAGATCCAAAACAACAACAACAACAAAACAACAACTTATTTTCTTCACATTTCACATCAAATTATAGAGAGGTAAAAGGCTTAGTTCTTTTAATATAGATTTTGAAAATATGTTTCATCATCATCCAAGGGACCTTTGTGCCTGGACTCCTTATCACTTCAAGTTGGATAGAGTGATTTGATCAACAAGGGCAGAGAAGGCCCTGCACAGCCGCTCAGCTCCACAATACAGGTCCGTGTTTACCGAAGATTGTGAGCCTGAAATCAAGAAACAGGAGAGTCCTTCAGAGAAAGCACCTAAAGGTTTCCAAGCTGATCGTGCCAAAGCTCTAGCACAGAGAAGGAATAAAAACTACCTCTCTCCAGTTCCTGTTGATGATGCCCTTTTTCTAGGTTACCCGGAAAATAAGATGGTTGTTATTTGCCATGATCAATTACTAATACAACTTGGT